ATCCAAAAATCAATTAATGTAATACATCATATCAATAGAATAAAAAACAAAAATCACGTGATCATTTTAATAGACACAGCAAAAGCATTTGACAAAAGCCATTACCCTTTCATTATAAAAACATTCTAGAAATTGGGAATAAATGGGAATTTCCTCAACCTAATATAGCACAGCTACAAAAATCCCACGGCTAATATGCTTAATGGTGCATGTCTGAATGTTATTCCCCTAAGATCAGTAACAAGACAAGAATGTCTGCTTTTGCCACTTCTATTCAATATTGTACTGGAAGTTTTCACCAGAGCAATTAAACAAGAAAAACAAAAAGCATCTGGATTGGAAAAGAAGGACATCATCTCTATTTTCAGGTAAAATGATCTTTTATATAGAAAATCCTAAGGAATACATACACAAAAACACTATTAGAACTAATAAACAAATTTAGCAAAGTTTTAAGGTACAAGATCAATATATAAAAATAAATTGTATATTTATACACAAGGAATGAACAATGCAAAAATGAAATTAAGAAAACAGTTCCATTCACAATAGCATCAAAAAGAATAAAATATTTAGGAATAAATTTAGTAAATGAAGTGTAAAACTCATACTCTGAAAACTACCAAACAGGTACTCAAACAAAAACTTGTATATGAATGATCAGAGTAGCATTATTTATAATAGTCAAAAGGTGGAAACAACCCCAATGTCCATTAACGGATGAATGGGTAAAGAAAATGTGGTTTCTCCATACAATGGAATGTTATTCAGCCATAGAAAGGAATGAAATACTGACACATGCTTCAACTTGGATGAACCTTGAAAACATTATGCTAAATCAAAGAAACCAGTCGCAGTAAGTCCACATATTATATGATTCCATTCATATGAAAGTCCAGAATAGGGAAATCTATCGAGACAGTAAGTAGATAAGTGGTTTCTTAGGGCTGGGGGAGATGGGGAGAGAATAGGGGGGTTGAGAGGACAGGGAGTGATAGCTAAAGGACACAAGGTTTCTTTTTGAGATGATGAAAATATTCTAAAATTGACTTGCAATGGTTGCACATGTCTGAATTTGCTAAAAAAAATCATTGAATTTTTCACTTTAAATGGGTTAATTGTTTGGTATGTGAATTATATCTCAATAAAGCTGTTTAAAATAAAAAGAATATAGCCTATGTGTTTTGCCATCTTGAATCCCCCTGACATCTCCATGCCTCCTTTTGTTTTGTTTGTTTTGTTTTTGCTGAGGAAGATTCGCCCTGAGCTAACATCTGTGCCAATCTTCCTCTATTTTGTATGTGGGTTGCTGCCACAGCATGGTGGCCAACAAGTGGTGTAGGTCCACGCCTGAGAACCGAACCTGGGCCACCGAAGCAGAGCGCACTGAACTGAACCACTAGGCCATGGCGCTGGCTCTTCCATGCCTCCTTTTACCCTCTCCTCCATCAGTGACCTCCTTTTCATATCACTCCTGCTCACAGAAACTCCCATTCAGCGTGTGGTACTCCTCATGGGAAGGAATATTTCTCATTTTTCTTTGCAGCATCACTGTGGCTACCTACATAGCTTCTGTTCTTTCATTTGCTTTTGGCTGCATTTCCAAATAATTTGGAGTGTGTCATTTTCTCTGTTTCCTCGTGGTTAGGACTTTTATTTTTCTTGTTTCTTTCTACATGGTTTCCAAGAGGAGAAATATCAGGTTTAGAACTAGTTCTTCCCTAAAACTATATAATAGTCACTCTCAAGTCCTTTTTATTTCCCAACACAAAGTATATTTCAGTCCACAGTTTCTTCTCCAGCTCTTCACTCATTTTTGAAAGCACTTAAAGTCCAGTAAAGTCCTGTTATACCACTGAAGTTCTCTGTCTCCTAGGCCAAATTTGTACTACATGCTTTACATGAAATTTTCATGAACCAACCCCCCCCCCCATTGAGTACATCAATCTTTCCTCTACCCTCCCACACCAGCTTTGTTGTATCTCTAATTAGAAACATTTTTCAACCTTACCTTAAAAATGCAAAACGAATTCTTATTACTTCTGAGATAAGGCCCAAACTCCATAGCCTATTTTTTAGGGATTTTCATGATCTGATCCCTGCTGTTTACATCTTCATCTGTCATTGGTCTTTCCTCCCACTCTACACTCCTTGAATGCACAAAGATAGCTACGCTTGATTTTGACATGTTGTTTCCTCTGCCAGAAAATCCCTCTCCCTTGCTCCGTCTTCTTTGGTGAACCCCTCAAGACTCATCTGAAGCACCATCTCCTATAGGAAGCTTTCCCTTACTAATTAGTTTGGCTTGGGCTCCTTTGAACTACTTGTCTCTTCTTCTACATCCATGATAACCTTTATATCCTGCTGTATTGTAATTGCTTCTTGAGGGCAGATCCTGCAGCATATTTATCTGGATCCCCAGTACCAAGCACAAAGCCAGATTCCAGAGGCTTCTGTATGTTTTTTTAATAAAAGTATTTGCTTTGTAAAACTGATTACTCACCCAATCCCAACCTTCCTTCCATCTTTGTATTCCTTTCATGACAAAGCCACCCTGCTGCTCATTGTCAATAAAATACAGGAGGCAAAGCATAGTCTGCCAGGGCCAACTCACCTTCACTCAGTAAAATGAGGAATCCTGGAATCCAGATGTAAGATCCAGTATTGAAAATGAACAAGCTTTGGGTTCAGCAAGCCTATACTACTTCCTAATAGTAAATTTGAGCAAGTGACCAGTTTCCTAATCTTTTGAATGAGAATGATAACTAACTTTCACAGATGGCTTAAAGATGAAGGCTAATGTAGATATGAGTTGATCACTGATGAATCTGAGGGAAAAAGGAGATTTATAATGCTATTCTATCTACTTTTATATGTGTAAAATTTTCCATATTTCTAATTTAAAAAAAATTATACATACACATACATAAAATACCAAGAACATAACTCTGCTCAATCAGTATTATTTTGTTGTTACCCTAGAGTGGGAATAAATTATCAGAATCACATTCACCTTTTCCTCCAAGGCTTTACACTGAAAAAGGAGTCTGGATGATGCCAGAAAGCAGAAAGAAACCAGAGAGTGCTGGGCCTGGAGGTTAATGGGAATTGACAGTGCAGCTGGGCCAAAGACTGTGTGTACAGGTGTGTTTATGCTCCAGAAAAGACTGCTTAGGCTGTGTAAACAGTCATCTCACTGAATGACTAGTGAATCTGGTTGGAGTTATTTTGGCCTCACAGTTGCCTTTAGTTTTGTGGTGTGGATGTTTTGGATGAAAATGAGTCAGTTACTATACACTTTGTTGGACATAGAGGAGATGAAAAGCTACTGTCAGGGGAAGTTCATGGGAGGGCCCTGGGCAAATGCACTGGACTCCAGATTGGAGAGTTCCCTTGCTCTTGGGGTTCCCTTGGGGATGTCTAACTTGGCGTCCATGTTGTGAAAAGGGATATTCAGGGAAAGTCAGAATGACCTTATATCTTGAATTTCCTGATCCATGTCATGATTTGGCATAACTGGTTGGACATCCTGCTGTATTTTTTTTTTTTTTTTGTGAGGAAGATCAGCTCTGAGCTAACATCCATGCTAATCCTCCTCTTTTTGCTGAGGAAGACTGGCTCTGAGCTAACATGCACTGCCAATCCTCCTCCTTTTTTTCCCCAAACCCCAGTAGATAGTTGTATGTCATAGTTGCACATCCTTCTAGTTGCTGTATGTGGGATGCGGCCTCAGCATGGCTGGAGAAGCGGTGCGTCGGTGCGCGCCCGGGATCCAAACCCGGGCCGCCAGTAGCGGAGCGCGCGCACTTAACCGCTAAGCCACGGGGCCGGCCCCATCCTGCTGTATTTGAGTCTCTTGGGTTTTGGATAGGTCCAGGATTTCTGCAGATTCCCTCTGACCTTCCCTCAAGGAAGCAAATGGCATTCTTAGTCCATTTGAAAGCTCTGAGGAAAGCCTGACCTCTCATGATTCCTTCCCTCTAGCTCTGCTTTCTCAGGACTCTGCTTGACCAGAAGAGGAATCCTGAAGAAGACTGATCGACTCTTAGAATTTTAAGTCATGGCCCACGTGAGTTGGAATTGCCTCTCCGAAAATGTAACCATTTATCACATCATGTGAATATTTTTATTCCTTATCCTTAAACTGCTGAGTCCCTACCAATGTGGTAAATGATAGTTGTGAAACAGTCCAGTGCCTTCCCTAGGTGTCCCTCTTGTCTCCAACATGGCATTTAGTACTTCCTGTGTCCTAATACTTTGATAGGGCACTCAAGGAGGAGAAATATATTCCCTTAAAGGAAATAGTAGAGACTTTCTTTTCAAAACTGTGGCTTAAGGAGGTGGAACTGAGTGGCTAAAAGGGACACACTACATGAAAGTTTTTATTTACTCTATAGAATGGGATGTTTCACTTAGGAAGGATGGGAGTTGATATTCATTTTAGTATGTAGCACTTTATCATGCTTTTAGATAGAGGATATGATGAGAGATTGAGTTCGGAGAGGTCTGGGATCTTGCCAGGAAATCAGTGAGAGATTAATATCATTAACAAGACACGTACTGATTGTCAGCTACTTGGTTGAGAGCCTAGAGATTTTATACATTCTCCACAGAAAATTCAACTAACAGTAGCTTAAGAAAAAAAAAATACTTTTCTCACCTAATAAATCTGGAGTTAGTCATTCTAGGCTGGTGTAGCCTTTCAGTGGTATCAACAAAGAACTCATATGATGGCTCTTATTCTGGGCTGCCATCCTGTTGTCTTGGTGTTTGTTGCTGGAAAGTCATAAGGATGTTGACTGAGCAATAGGAGATTTTAAGAGCGTGTAGGCACTTGGCTTCAGTCACACTCCTTTCCATGTCATTTCCCCCCATACCATAGGCAGTCAACTCCAGTTTTTGCTCAGTGTAGACACACTTCCTGCAGTGCCCTTTTCTATCTTTCCCCCTTCCATTTAAAAGATTTCTTGTAATTTCACCATTGATGCTTGGGTTTGTCATTTCAGCAGTTGATGTTCAGGCACGTAGCTGTGGACTTCTCTCAGGAGGAGTGGGAATGCCTGGACTCTGAACAGAGGGACTTGTACAGAGATGTGATGTTGGAGAACTACAGCAACATGGTCTCACTGGGTAAGATTCAGAATCTGACCCCAGAAATTCCTGCTTTCTACATTGTGAATTTTGGATTGTTCAAGTGTCTAGGAGAATGTCTGACCTCTCTCTGGGACAATGGTTTTTGCTTTGTAAATTTGGCAGTAGTCATCATCATTGGAAACCTCCATCTTCTCCATCCTTTAGAAATCTTTTTGCCTTTTTCTTGCCCTTCCTATAATTGTCTCTCTTCCTTAATAACCAAGGGACTAGATGCATATTTTGGAACCCTTACCATGTGGTCTTTTCCTGTTTCTTATCTTCTGATCAGGACTTTGCATTTATCAGCCAGATGTGTTCTCTTTACTGGAGAAGGGGAAAGAGCCCTGGAGGGTTTTGAAGGATGAGACAAGAGGACCTTGCACAGGTGAGTGAGGGCTGAGCAGGTACGGGGAGGGCATCACTGCAGATAACAGCCCAGCTGTTGAGTGAGGCAGCAACATCTCTGAAATATTGGTCTAGAATCTCCTTCTCAAAGGCCAAAAGCCTATGGAGAAAGGCCTGGGACCTAGAGACAGAAGTAAACTTTTTAACGTGAATTTCCAAATGAACCCTCCAAATACCACTCTATTTCAGTGTTCTCATTTTTCCTTCATGTTACAAAAAGGTAAGTGTCATTCTTTTTCTCCAGTGGTCAATTTATCTATGGTTTAGATCAAGTTTCTTCTCATCTCTCTCCCTTTTTTTTCATTTAGATATTTGTAAATTTCTTCATTCACTAAAAAAACATTTTTGACCCTGGTTTTCGTTTTATCTACTATCTCTTGAACTTTTCTTATTTTCCCTAGTTTCTCCTTGCTTCCGCATTTCCCGCACTCATTAATTCATTCTTCTAACTAACATTTATTGATTTTCTAATTTCATTTTAGGTTAAGAAAGGTTAACAAAGAGTATATAATCTATTATGAAACTTTGTATTCTTTTCTGTGACTGGAACATGTCTATAAATTTCTGTGAAATAGGCTCTACATTAAGAGAAGGCCTAATAGGCTGCTTTGTTGAAAATCAGGACAATAGATGAAAAAAGTTTCTCGCTACAGTGCAGAGGAGGTAGCAGAAGAGAGGTTAGGGCTAATAGAGGACCAGGAGGAGAGTGCAGTGCTGTAAAAGACAGGTCTTGGCTGTCAGGAGGAAGCAAGGAGTCTATTTGGCAAGTAGATGGTAATTAACGAATTTCCTGTTATGAGCAGGACCCAGATTGAAATAACATACTCTTGGAGCTTCTTTCTTATTTGAAATATCAAGGGAAGAAAATAAATTTTATTTCCCTATTGGAATCATGTTTTTAAATTCCAGAAACTGTATTTATGTTTTAAAATTGTTTTTATTCTGAACTATTGATACACGCAACACCTTGAATGAATCTGAAGGCTATTATGCTGAATGAAAAATGCCAATCTCAAAAAGTCACATACTATAGGAATCCATTTATACAACATTCTGGAAATCACAAAATTAAAGAGATTGGAAGCATGTTAGTGGTTGCCAGGATTAGGCATGGGCAGGGGGGAGCAGTGGTGGTGGTGAAGACTATAAAGGGGTAGCATGAGACCTAGCATCTTTGTGGTGGTGGACTAGTTCTCTATCTTGATTGTGGTGGTGGTTACAGGAATCCACATATGTGATGAAATGACATAAAACTATACATGTGCATTGCGCAAATGTCAATTTCATGGTTTTGATATTGTATGATAAATATGTAAGATGTATTCTTTGGGCACAACTGGGTAAAGGGTACACAGGACTCTGGACTATCTTTACAACTTCTTGTGAATCTATAATTATTTCAAAATAAAAGCTTTTAAAATTTATTCTGTTTTATGAGGTATATATAATTTTATTTCATATTTTTATGCCCAGAACACTACCATGTACCTTTTTTATTTTGGTTTATTTTCACATGTTATGAATGTACTGTTATATATTAAGGTTGTTCTGCATTTATTGTTACTAAAGTTGCCACTCTTGGTACCTGTCAATTATTCATGGGGATTTTTCCACATTGGGTGATGGCTGTGTCTCAGATATGAGATTCCTTGGCCAAAGGGTTTAAAGTTATAAAACCATATGCACAACTAATTAAGATTAATTGATTAGTCATTCAAAAAGTTATTTTAAATCATACAAAATTATATGAATATCTTAAACAACCTGGGACTATTTATTTATAGCTCACAACTGTTTCACCCATATTTCAATGTAGGGTGAGGGCATGTTCTCCCTAATTGGAATTCTGCCTATTCTTTCTTGTATTAACCATGCCAATAATTCATTCTCCTAATTTCTTGGTTCTGTTTTGTTAAGGGCAATGAGAATTTAGGCAGTCCTACTGTAGAATCTCTTTATTTTTTACAGTCTATATGATTGACTCTAAACTACTAAAATAAAATTTGTAGCCTTCTTGAATGTTTGTCTAGAACATTCAACTTTTATAAAAACAACCTTTCTCTCATATTTCTTTACATAATGTTATTAAAATATATAATTAAAATATCAAGAACAATTGGTAAAAACAAGTTTGGAAACAGAAGTAGCAACTACTTGAGTGCATTTTTATATCGTGGGTATTAATATTTACATTTTCTGAAGGATTGGAGGGCATCGGTTCATAAGGAGATCAGGGATGATATCAGTTTCAGTGTAGCCTCACTGTAAATGGGTTATTTTTAATTAAAACCTTCTAATAATTTAAAAGGATAAAGGCTATTGATTTCTAGTGAGGACGGATAGTTCCCCTGTGTTTGTTTACTGATTTACTGCTCGTATTTATTTGATTAATATCTGCTCTGTGCTTGATGTATCCTTATCACTTGTTGGCTTAGTACTTTTTATTTTTAGTGTGAATGGGCATTCACATAAAGAAAACACTAATACGCTAATACCTAGTTAGGGTGGCTGAAAGGATAGTTATCTTTATTTCCTTATAGGCCTTTAGTTTTATTTTGGTGCTAAAATTTTTACTTTACAACTTAAAGTATAATTGAAGAAGAATAAACTGCATATATTTGAAGTACACAGTTTGATCTGTTTTTTTTTTTTTTTTTGGGTTTATTGTATAAATTTCAGGTGTACATCATTATACTTCTATTTCTGCATGGATTACATCATGTTCTCATGTTCACCTACCAAATACTAATTACAATCCATCATGGCACACATGTGCCAAATTATCCTTTCACCCTCCTCCCTCCCTCCTTCCCCTCTGGTAACCACCAATCCAATCTCTGTCTCTATGTGTTTGTTTATTGTTATTATCTACTACTTAATGAGTGAAATCATATGGTATTTGACCTTCTCCCTCTGACTTATTTCACTTTGCATAATACCCTCAATGTCCATCCATGTGGTCACAAATGGCTGGATTTCATCATTTCTTGTGGCTGAGTAGTATTCCATTGTGTATAAATACCACATCTTCTTTATCACTTCTTCCCTTGATGGGCACTCAGGTT